GTCATTGTTGTTTGGCGGGCCCGGGCTGGGGATTCAAACCCGCCACCTTTGGTATATGTGGCTGGCGCCTTAGCCACTTGAGCCACAGGCGCCGAGCCCCTGTATTTCTTCTAAGAGGCTAATAGTTTTAGCTCTTAAGCTGAAGTCTTTGATCCATTTTGATTTAATTTTTATATATAGTGTAAGGAAGGAGTCAACTTCATCCTTTGCATGTGGATGTTCAGTTTTCCCAGCATCATTTGTTGAAATGACTGTCTTTTCCCCATAGAATAGTGTTGCTGTACTTGTTGAAAATCAGTTGGCCATATATGTGAGGATTTATTCCCATGGTCTCTAGTCTATATATCTATATACTGTTGGTTTGTAGTAGGTTGGGGTTTTTTTGCTTGTTTGTTTGTTTTTTGTCTTACTCTGTTGCCCTAGGTAGAGTGCAATGATGGGGTCAACCTAACCCACAGCAATCTCAAACTCCTAGGTTCAAGTGATCCTCCTGTCTCAGCCTCTTCAATAATTGGGACTACAGATGACCACCACAATGCCCAGCTAATTTTTCCATTTTTAGTAGCAATGGAGTCTGGCTCTTGCTCAGGTTAGTCTAGAACCCCTGAACTCAAGTGATCCTCCAACCTCAGCTTCCCAAAGTGCTAGGATTATAGGCATTAGGTTCTGGAATTGAAGCAATTCCTGATGGCTTTTGATGGCTGTTAATTACTCCTGTGTCTCAGGTGAATCTCCAGGCAACCCACTGCCTTTGGAGTCCAGAGAGCTTTCAGGCTCTTGTCTCCCTTTCTGGCCAGGGCACTCTCTCAGATGCAGGGGTCCCTGGGAATTTACTTTTTTCTCCCTAGCATGAGGTATGAATTTACTTTCCTTTATTCATATCTTCATACCTGAGCAATCTGTGTTGGTCAGATTCACAATCACTGGAGCAGAACTGTTCATAAAGGTTCACTAGGAGCAGGGCCATTTGCAGTATCAGTAGTCATTTGCACCTGGCATCTTGCCTTTCACCTTGATACCAGATTTTGGATCCAGGTTTATAAGTCCTCTAATTTTGCTCTTCTTTTTCCAGACTATTTTAACTATTTGAAATTTTTTGAAATTGTATAAGAATTTTATTTTATTTTTTGAGACTGGGTAGAGTCTGTGGCATCACAGCTGTCCCCCTGGGTAGAGTGCTGTGGCATCACAGTTCACAGCAACCTCCAACTCCTGGGCTCAAGCAATTCTCTTGCCTCAGCCTCCCAAGTAGCTGGGACTACAGGTGCCTGCCACATGCCCAGCTATTTTTTGGTTGTAGTTGTCATTGTTGTTTGGCAGGCCCAGGCTGGATTTAAACCCACCAGTTCTGGTGTATGTGGCTGGCGCTGAGCTGCTATAAAAATTTTAATATGGGCTTTCCTATTTCTGAAAAAAAACACTGTTGGCTTTGAAAGTGATTGCATTCAAACTGTAGATTACTTTGTGTTGCTTTTAAAAGCATTTAACTCATTTATTTTAGAAAATTTGGCTGGGCACAGTGGCTCACACCTATAATCCCAGCTCTCTGGGAGACCAAGGCAGGAGGATAAACTTGAGCTCAGGAATTCAAGACCAGATTAAGCAAGAGTGAGACCCCCCCCCCATCTCTATTAAAAATAGAAAAATTAGCCAGATGTTGTGGTGGGGGCATATAGTCCAAGCTACTTGAGAAGTTGAGGCAGAAGGATTTCTTGAATCTAGGAGTCTGAGGTTGCTATGAGCTAGGCTGACACAATGGCACTCCAGTCTAAGCAACAGAGTGACACTCTGTCTTAAAATAATAATAATAATACATGGCCAGGCACAGTGGCTCATGCCTGCAATCCTAGCACTCTAGGAGGATGAGGCAGGTAGTTTGCCTGAGGTCAGGAGTTTGAGACCAGCCTCAGCAAGAGCAAGACATCAGGGGGTGGGAGGGAGGTATTGTGGTGGGTGTCTGTAGTCCCAGTTACTTGAGAGTCAGAGGGAAGAGGATCGCTTGAGCCCAAGAGTTTGAGGTTGCTATGAGCTGACACCACGGCACTCTACAGAGGGCAACAGAATGAGACTGTCTTTTTTTTTTTTTT